TACTACTACTGCTACTACTACTACTGATACTACTACTACGAATACTACTACTAATACTACTACTACTACTACTACTACTACTGATGCTACTACTACTACTACTGATACTACTACTACTACTACTGTTACTACTACTACTACTGATACTACTAATACTACTACTGATACTAATACTAATACTACTGAACCTAAAGCAGGAGTCGCTGTTACGGTGTCTGTCTTTGAGTTCCAACCTGAGACATTAAACTGGTACAAATACACAGACGGTACAGCCCAGTACTTCTTTCAGGAGTACGGTTACGTATGTTTATTGGGGTACACAACAACTAGACGTGTTTGTTGACATTCAAGACCATCAACTAGTTTGAGGCTAATCACAAAGAAGGTTTCATTTTTAATTAGCTCATTATCCCGTTTAGAAACTGTGGACGAAGAGCGAAGACGTCGCTCACAGCTTCTTCATCGTCTCGCTGGCTGAGAGTCGATCTCCTCAACCTGAAACACACAGTACACTGATGTAGTAGTCCTGCTGGTCACAGTACTGCGAGGATTTAGAGAGGACGAAGCCTAGCATTAGCGCTAGCATTAGCATTAGCGCTAGCATTAGCAGCAGCTACGAGCAGAAGTATTAGCTGATGCAGCTTTAGCAGGAACAAATGTGTAAATTCATCAGGTGATTACGATCCTCTGAGCTTCAGCAGAAACTGGATGTTTGGGTTCTTGAAGTCCTAACTGCACAGAGAGCAGCGACTCAAGGTGTTTATGGTGGTGAGACCACCTGGGGAGGAGGTCAGGATGCTGGAGACGAGCTTTGAGTCATGTGATCTGGAGGTGAGATACCTGGAAGTGGCCACCAGTCAGTTAGGGCCAAAGAATCCTTCTGGGTGAAGGTGAAACGTCTTCGTCCAATTTGACTGAAGCTGTAAGCATTAGCACTCACAGTCTCAATGCTAACAGCAGCGGTTTGTTTACCTGAACAGTCCGAAGGGTCTCTGAGTTCTCGTAGACCACACCTGGGGGCTCGTTCACCTGTCGGAGGCGTTTCTTACTCTTCAAATATGACGACAGCGAAACCAAACCTGGCAGCAGAGCAACGGGTGAGTCAGCTGATGAGTAAATATCGTTGACTCCAGCTAACCAACTCACCGATGACGAGGACAACGAGGACAGTGACTCCGAGGGCTGAGCGGTAAACCTGGACCAGCTGGTTCTGGGTTTTGCATTCGGATGGACTTGGAGGAACATCTGGATCATCTGGAGGAAGAAAGCAGTGTTTCAGTCCTACCACATTCACTGGAACCAAAGTTTCTTGTCTCAGCTGTTTAACGGCTCCAGCTGGGATGTGAGCCTCAGACTGAAACCCTCCACCAGATGGAGACACTGAGCCTATGACGAAACCAGAAGCAAACTGAGACTGTGTGGAGGGCTTTCACACCAGCGTCACTGCAGAAGCTCGAAACACTGTGAGCTGGATTGATTCATATCTGCATGATCGAACACAATCTGTATCAGTAAACAACTGCAGATCTGACTCTCGTACGTTAACCACTGGAGTCCCTCAGGGGTCAATATTAGGCCCCCTTTTATTTAGTCTTTATATTAATGATTTGCCCGCTGCTTGTTCTGAAGCTGAATGCTTGATGTATGCAGACGACACTGTCTTCTTTGTTCATGGTAACACCAAAGACACTGTTGCTGCTAAACTTATTAAAACAATGTCCTGCATTACAACTTGGCTGCAGGAGAACTGTCTGCAGCTAAACGTTTCTAAAACTGTCGGCATGTATTTCACTAAAACAAACAGAGTATCATCTGATCCTGACATACATGCTAATGGAGAAAAAATACAAATTGTCAGCCAATATAAATATCTTGGGATAATAATAGATTCAGATCTTTCCTTTAAAGCCCATATTGGTAAATTACGTAAAATAATCAAGTTGAATCTTGCAAATTTTCGTGCAATTCGAAATAAAATGTCAGCTGAAGCCACACAAATGTATTTGCATTCAATGATTTTCAGCCACTTGAACTATTGCCTGACCAGCTGGTCCCAGGCTTGTCTGAGCTCAAAAAACCCATTGGAGATCTTGTACAAATAAACAATTAAAGTTATGAATAAAAAACCTAGGCACTATCATCACTGTGCAATTTTTAAAAAATACAGTATTTTAAATTGGGACAGTTTTAGACATTTGCAGACTTAAAACTGGCCTATAAAGGACTGCATAAACTGGCTCCAGATCCTCTGGCAGAGTTCATCAGCCAAAGAAACAGCCTTGAGCGGATCACTGGAGGCTCTGCCAGAGGCTACTGCTACAGTCCTCTGTGCAGGAACGCTTTCAGTCAGTCGGCCTGCTCAGTCAGGAGTGCAGGTGTGTGGAACTCAGTACCTGAGGAGGTCAAACTGCTTCCAACGTACAAGGCCTTCACAAAAAAACTGAAAATGTGGCTCATCAACACCTACAGCTGCCAGCACTAAAAGATGGCTGTTGTGACGTTTGATATTATCATAAAATGTGATGTTGCATTTTTTCTTAATTGTATCGTAAGTGTTGTTTATGTATCTTGTGTTATATTGTACATGTATTGTGTGCTTTTTCTATTTTCTTCTTTTTTAAATTGTAGTTTTACTGCCTGTTTCACATCATGGCCGACAGATGAAAACGAGCCTTCTGGCTAATTCTGGCTTTTTTAACCATGTGTAATCATGTGTTTTGTGAAATTGCGCTGTCCCCTTTTAAATAAACTAATCTAATCTAATCTACTTCTCTAAAACACAGAACAAACGAGAACACGATCAGGAAACTTTATGTGGTTCTTACCTGAGACGAGGAGGAACAC